AGAAATTAATCTAAAAGCAACTTGATCAGAAAATGCATGAGGAGAAGGAAATCCTTTGACTACAAAACAAATTCCAGGTAAAAAAAAAAATACTAAGTGCTTTCTCCAAAACACAGAGTGCAGCCACAAAAGTGGGGGTGACATGGAACAGCTTATTTAAAAGCCTTTTAAAATATGGATAAAATAACAATGTAGAAACATTTCACAATATGCTGAGCAGCAATTCCAACAAGGATTGCATTTGAACTGATGACTATCTGAGCTATGAAAGCTGATGCATTCAAGGCAGCGCTTAACTAGCTGATGATTGAAACTACACAGAACAGCAGTGATCACATTAAAAACCTAATGCATCATTTCCCAGAGTACAAAGCAGGTGGCAGAACTGCAAAAAATGGAGACAGATTATTTTTCTCTTATATGAATAACGTAAGAAAACACTCCTGCAAATTTTGAAAGCTGAACATCTCCACTCAGTAGCAGGTAAACAGTTTTCCTAAAGACCGCACCAACATGCTAGAAGGTCGCTGGCTTGAGATGCACACAGCAACAGCATGTAAGCTTCTAAAAGAACAGTTACATTACCTTTTTAACAGTAGCTCAGATGCTATATTTTTATGTATATATGTGTGTGTGTGTATACATATGTGTGTGTGCATATATATATATACAGATATATATATAAAACCAATATACATTGTACTACTTAAATCCAAAATCAGTACATTCTGGGACCAAGTCCGAGAACTCTATTTGTATTTACACAAAACAGTGATTCCTGTTTGCTTTACAGGAGCAGACTAGGCTAGCACAACCTCAACAGACTCCTAAAGATGAGCTGGGCTGAACAAAATCAGTCCTGCAAGGCAACCACCCAGAAAGGATGTCTCTGCAGAACACATGTATGTACCTTCTGTCCACCAGACTCACTTAACCACTTCAAATAAGGCTCATTAAATGGAGGAGGAAAAATAACTTTTCAGAGATTCTTATTCACCCTTTTTAGGTCTATACTTCCAATATACAGCTCACTTCCCCCCAGGACCAGCATTCCTCCACACAATTCTCTGGAGCACTGTTCGTCCTCCTCAAGGTGCAATGCCAGGAAGTGAAAAAGAGCATGATAAAACCTGAATAAGCCTGGCAGAACTTTAAGCCCTGGTCCTGAAAAATTCTTCCATACCTCTCAACACAAGGATGAAAGGGATTTGCATCAGCACTCCTGTCTACATGGCACGAATCCCTGAATCCTCAAGTCTCTACTCCCACAACTGCATCTTCAAAACACTCTGCATTCTTAAGTAAAACTGTCCCATTAGCAAAGCCAAGTAGCTCATTACAGCACTGCCCTCCTCATTATAAGACACTTATTCTGATGTTAATTTGAAGTATAATAAATCTCTCATCCAAAGATCTGGGGGTCTTTTAAATCAAAATAATTCCTTGCAGGTTTGGCTGTGACTCCCTTCCCCCCACATGAGCTCAGCCAAGGAAAACAGATACAAGGGGCAATGAGACACCACCCAATGTAATTTAGCAAGAATACAAAACAGCACTTGTATGAAGGGCAACCCATGACAATTGCTCATATGGCAGTTGGTTTTGTGGTAGTGCTTTATATTCACACACCAGGACCTCTCTGCAGCAGAAAAAAAACCCTGCAATGGGCCACCCTGGCAGCTGGAACCTTGTCAGTCCCCTGTTCCAGAGAAAAATCATCTCTTCCAGGACATCAAGGGGAAGCTACAGTCTCTCCCTCCCTCTTGCCCAGGTGATGGATATGAAGCTAGAAGCATCTTCTCTTTGCTTCCTTCTCCCTAAATTAAGGCTGACGGATCAGCACATACCAAATTCTGGACTGGCCCCAGTCAAAGCCACCATTGTCTGCTGCCTTGCCAGATGTGTAGAGGTGAGACCAGGAGCACTTTGGAGAGAAGGGGAGTGCACACAGAAGTGAAAAAGAACGGGGAACACACGAAGGATCCACAAATACTGAAGCTCAATCACAAAATGTGAGGACATGGAAAACCATTTCGTTAGGTTCAATGGGCATAGAGTCATTAGCTCTTTCACCTGGATTTTCAGATCATGGCAACTCAGCAGTATACATTCAAAAATTCTTTTTCTTTTCTACACTGAAGCAAACTTTACACTACAGAGGTGAATCACTTTCTTGCACTTACTTAAACGTGGTTTGAGGATACAACAACATCCTGATGAGCTGCTATTTGTTTAGAACAAAGTACAGGTATCACATTCAAAAACAAGCATCCTGCATTAATTTCTTTAAATAAAAGGTTACAAACAAATCTGCTTCAAGTCACTTGGGAATCAACTTCAGGATCAAAGGTTACTTTTAACTTTAGGCTTTTTTTCTCAATTTTATATGTACATCGGTACCCACTAAAAATCCCAACAGATGGCTACCAAACTACGTGTGATAACAAAGTTATTGCTCCACAGACCCTACAAGCTTCATACCTTCAGAATAACTGACCCATTATTCAATTTTACTTTGATGAAAGCTACGGAACCATTTCTCATGTAGCTGTGTTTTTCTAAATTAAAAAAAAAAAGAGGTTAAACTCAGCTAATGAACAGGCCATACTAAATTTATGTCAATAGCTAAACATCTGCTAAGAGCACTGTTTCTTAAAATGCAATCCACAAAGAGCAGGAAGCTTACATGGTGCTGGCTTGCTTTCATTCACACCTGCTTAATTACATGAAAAACAAATAAAACACTTTAAGTATTTTTCAAATATCAATTTCCTCGCAAGCAGGAGTTAGAGTCACTACAGAACTGATTCAAAAATCCGAAGAGCTGACCTGCGCAGCCATCGGCTGGACATTCCCCAGTGCATGAGACTATGAAATGCAGCATGAGGTTCTTCTGAAGGTGTCTGAGCTAATACAAAATGTTCATAATTTTCCAAGACAGTGAGACGCTCAAGTTCAAACCTTTTACAAAGGAATGCTGAATTACATACACTGAATGATTTAAAATATGACAAACTGAAAAAAATCTCACTCAAATCCTACAAGATAATACATTGGGCTATTAAGTGAAAAACATATTCACCACAACAATATCTGCCCTTTTTCATTTCTCAGTTTGCTGTTCTCTGGAAGGAGAGGAAGAGAACATTTGACCCAATACTAAAAACAAGCTTCACATTGACCAAAACCATATTGTTATTTTTAAATCAGTTCATATTAGGGAGGTGCTCTACAGAAAAGCACATGAGAAATGAAAACACTCTACCTTCAGAAAAATATTTAAGTACCATGTAGTATATGAGGCTTGAAGCTTCTGAACAGCAGAAAAGAAAATGCATAGTTGCTTATTAACAGAGGATTAACATTATTTTAGAGTCTCTCTAACATAATGAATGAGGCTAGGTTCCTACATAGTATCACTCACTGTACTTTTATAAAAGAGCTTAAAAGCAACTTTAATTGTGGAAATTCCTAAGTCTCAGTTACTTTCATTGTCAATCAACATATTCTCTTAGAAGCCTGCACATGTATTTAATACACTAATTGAGTAGCAGCTTTGTGCAGACCCTTCACGAGCAAGACAGCAGTTTCCTTTCTGTATGGGAGTTTTATCCAAATTAGAACTATGGCAGCATTTAATGATAATGGAGATGGGCTCCCCAGCCTTCTCTGGAATAAGATAAATGAAAATATTTTGGCTAGGAAACAGTCCCTCACAAGCAGAACTTTTCTAAGAAGCTCCAGCAGTTTCTCATACCGAAGCATTGTATTTGACAACACCAGAGACCCCAGCCTCAAAAAAAGCTCTAATTTTTGTTACCAAATCAAATGAAGCTTGTCAATAAAGAGATTCCCCTCCTGCTCAAAAGCAAGACTTCTGTGCAAACTTTAGGCAGTAACTAGAGGGACATTGTAAACTGAAATTCCAGGTAGGAGCTCTTCAGTGGTTTCTCAAAGCACAGAAAGATAAAGTGACATATACTTAAAAGCCTGCTCTCCACGAAGTGCCACCTCTTGCTGCATGGTCCCACCCCCTTTAAGACACCTCTGACCACTCACTGAGCCAGTTCCACTCAATCATCTGGAGGAAAATTATGACCCTTCCCCACCCCCACAGTTATTTCAGTTTTCTCCTAGAATAACAAAGTCAGTCTGCTCACCAGAAGGTCAGACAAGTGTCACGTCAGCACAAGTATCTGGAGTGTGATGCTCCTACAGCAAAAACTAACACCTTGCTGTTGCCTGACTCTCAGCAGCAACCTTCAAAAGACTGAATGTTAAAATTGCACAATTTCCTCTCAAAAGCAAATGGTTCTTCTTCTCCTCTAAAACAAAACAAAATCAGGTTTGCCAAATGCTTATTAGCATTAGCTTCCTATGTGTATAGAAACATACTTAAAATTAAATGCAATTAGCTGGAAATACAAGGAAAAGGTAAGTCCACATGACTAGCTTGCTCTACGGACAAATCTCTGATTTTTCTCAATTAAAAAAAGTTTTAATTAATTAATGTTATATATTTAATTAAAATGTAAAAACAGAACAGAGCATATATTTCTTGCTCCCTTTGTGTATTTAAATACAGCATTTGTGGCACTTAATCATATTTCCATCTCTGAGATGTACAGAAAGAGAAAGTTATGTGAAAACAGATACCAGTTTCTGAAACGATGCAAGACCAGTGCAAAGAAGCAAGAGGAATTGAAAATCATAAAATTTATCTTCTCAATCCCTGAACTCACAGAGGCGAAAGCCTCATGATGCTGTCAAAACACTCACTTCCCACCACTTTCTCCCAAGCATATGACCCAAGTGACAGTTCCTGTGGCATCCTCTGATCTTCTGCCACGAAGTGACCAAACTGTGCCCCGTAATCTTCAAAGTGCTAAAGCCTGATCATTCATTCCGCCCTGAGGAGAAATCTCGCTGATTTCTCTAAAGAACAACAAAAAGTCCTACTCTGCCCTGTCATTCTCACCTCTACACGCGCTTCTACACACTCTTGGGCGCGTGTAAGCTCATTTTCACAGCAAGCAGAATCTCCCCTTCATCCGCCTCCTCGCTCACACCAACCACTTCACACGGAGTCTGAAGGAGGACAAACCCCGGCGCCTCGGGCAGCTGCCCCCCCACGGGATGTTGTCCAGGAGGGCAAATCCCACGGCGCCCTCCGCCCCCGGCGTGCCCTGTGCCCCCGAACTGCCTCCACAGCCCCGGCTCCCTCCCGAGTCCCCCCGGGCGTACCTCGCCGGGGCGAAGCCCTCCCGCCGCCACCTCCCCCTGGGGAGCATAAAAAGAGTTTGTTTTTTTGTTTTTGTTTTTTTTTTTTTTTCCCAAAGAAACTCGCGGCTCCTCTCTCGCCCTTTGTTGCCTCTGGGAGGGGCAGGTTCGGGGAGTGGGGCCACACGCCGGGGGGAGACCAGCGGCGGGGGCTGCCCCTCGCAGCAGCAGAGCCCCGGAGGGTTGTCCTGGCGCAGCCCCGGCAGCGGGGTCGCCGCCCGCTCTGCCCCACCTTTTCTGCGGCCCCGGTGCCTCGCAGCAGCAGCAGCAGGAGTAGGAGGCCTGTGGGCGGAGCCAGCGAGGCCGCCCGGCGGGTCCCGCGGGGAGCGGCCGCCCGTGCTCACCATTGCCCGCGGCGTGGGCAGCGCGCCGGCGCTCCGAGGGCATCGCGGGCTGCGGGGCGCCGCGCCGGGCCGCGTCTCTGCCCTTGCCCTGCCCTGCGCGCCCGCCAGCCCGCGGCCGCCCAACGCTTCCGGGGGCGCGGCGGGGGCTGCCCCGCATTCCTGCCGCCCCCCCGCCTCCCGACTGCCGGCCCCGGGCGGCCGCGGGAGCCCGGGACCGCGGCGCCTCCGCCCGCGGCCCCGCCGAGCGAGGGGCCCCCGAGCCGCGCCCTGCCGGGCGGCCTGCGCGGGGTTCACGGCCCCAAACTCCCTGGGAGTCAGCCCCTAAATTCCCGCCTCATTCCGCCTCCGTCCTCCTTTACGAGTTGGCTGATAGTACTCCGATTTTTCTCCCAAAGCAGAGATTAAGTGAGGCAAAATTGCTGGGAAAAAAACCAAACAAAACTCCTTGGAAACACGAATATTGCTGTTGTTAAGAGAAGAGGATAATCTGGTGTCACAGATCTCCACACGCAAATGTGAATTCAGCTTGGCTGCAAGGTCCCAAGCCATTGCAGTTTTAGTCCTCTAGCTCTTGAACACATACCATGTGTAATCAGCCTTGCCTTAGCAGGCTGAATTCAACCATGGGGAATAAACACTTAAAAGAAAAAAAAGTAACTTTCAAGTCTTACAGTCACAAGAAGAAGGCAAAATAGCAAATTTGCACAGATTTACGATAATAGTACTGAATTAGTACCCCTACGTTGTCAAGCATATTTGGGAGGAAAAAGAGCACCCTAAGCACTGGTAGCATCAGTCACCCTTGTAATACCACCATCATCATGCAACGGAACAGCTTGTTACATGGTTTTCAGTAGTAGATGAAAAGAATGTAATTTTCAGATGCTGATGCAATGTTGCCATGTCCATGCTTCCACAGCTGCAGTCACAGCCGACATTCCTCCCAGCAGCGAGGTCAGAGGGCAAAGAGGAAGGGTGGGAGCCACACCTACACAGATATCATTTAACATTTCTTTCAGCTTCATGATTCAAACATACTCAGCACTCCACTGGCCACACTCTCTCTCACCACAAAGGAGAAGGGACTTTGGACTCCACAGGTTCCAAAGATCAGCCTTTCAGCTATTACAGGCCCCATGGTCCATCCTTGCTGCTGTGGAAGCGCTGGATACCTTGGTGGTATCCAGGTGCAACAGTTCCACTGTAAAAAGTGTCTTAAGGAAGAAATCATTCCCCACTTCTCTCAAACAGCTCTAAGACACTGATACTGCTTTTCTGGCCAGGGTAGTCTAGCGCAGGCTCCACCAAAATGTCAGAAATACCATTTAAGGATGGTTCATGTTTATGCCAATCCACAGAGTTACTTGGAGGACTATTTAGATTAGGTTTTAACATTACTGTTCCTTGTTTAGATGCTGAAAACTGATCTATGTCCAAGTCTATGCTTAGGGCTTAATAAGGGCTTTTTTTTTTTTTTTTCCCCACAAAGAGACATGTAGGGCATTATCTCTCCTTCCTCGAGCATATCAACCATACTACTTGTGCCAAATCATGGAAGAATCCAGAATAGATTTTGTTGCTCAGACTAAAGACAGCAAAATTTTGATGAACAATTTTTTACTTGTTTGGCACATACTTGTGCCATAGCTGCCAAGAGGTGGAGTCTCTTATATTTAGGGAATGATAAATGTGAGGATTTTAGAACATTTCATATTTTCCCCCTTTTGAAACCTTTTTAGTGATACAGGAAGAGACCCCTATGAAAGCAAAGTCAATGGAAGGATATCACAGATGAGGCTGGTTTAAGTCAGCTTGCAAGATGTAATAGTCAACAAGACATTGTGCAACACGTAATGGAAGATGAATCAAAAATAATTTATATGTGTCCCCTTGTCTTCCATTCACCAAACACAGAAGTTCATGCCATAGGTCCCGTGAAAGAGTTACATCACTACAATAATATCCTTTCTATACTACAGAGAGCACATTCCTAAGATCACTAATCATTAGTGGTATTTGTTGTGTACTGGAAAAATCACTCCTTGAATAATTTGTGGCTTAGTAGTGTTGTGCATTAACAGGAACATCTGAACATCCTACACATAACTCAATAACAGTCTCTGGAGAACCTGATAGAGGTTTCCTCCTGTGTTATGTTGTGTTGTGAAGGTGTTTTGTTGGCTTGATTTGAGTATTCTAAATGTTTTGATTTGTTCATGTAAAAAAGGAGTATCTGAATCTGTGAGAGGGTTGATTTTTAAATGGGATGTGAAAACTTGTAGAATTCCTAAGAGCAGCCAGAGGCAGAATTTGCTTAATCTATCTTCGAAATTTGTCCCAAAGCCACATTCCTTGACCAGAAATGGTTTTTGTGGAGCCCTCGGTTGCATATTTTGCACAGGGAACACCATCCTGACAACAGCAGTGACGAACTATTAGAGGTTATACACCCTAAAAGCCTTAAAGATTCATAGAATCTACAGAGCCAAAGAATTAGCAATGCAACTGCTCAGAAGAGTTGTCTTAATACATGGTTTTCATTCAACAAAACAATCTGAAGAACTATACAAATCCAGATGGTCACCCTGGCTTCCAGAATCTTCCTTCTTCTCAGAAGATTTCAGCACAAGATGAGTTTAGGTACACCAGCAGCAGAGTACTGCACATTTTGGTCTATGAGAGTTCCCAGGCATCTCCTCAGGGGGAAACAGAACTGTGTAATAAAGATTCCATTTTAGTTTGTGACTTAGAACTGTCCCTGTCATCAAATCAAAACAGATACAGAATTAAAATGCTGTGGGAAGCAAATACAAATATAATAACATATGATACCAATCTCATAAGGCAAGTTGCCAACACGTATTAAGACATCAGCACAAATACTGTTTTTCAAGATAATGAGACAGAAGACCAAACCATCTTCTTACTGCTGATAGGAGAATGTTTTGCCAACTAAGCATTTCTGTAATATTTCCTTCCCATTGTGAGTAACTTCTAGAGGTAACTGAAACTATCATCTCCATCTGGTTCTCTCATTTTCCCTTGAGAAGCTTATGAGCAATTGGGCTTCTTTCCCACCACAGCTCTTTAGGTTTTTACATTCTTTCATTACATTTCGAAAGCTGAATTCAGCTGGAGGGCAGGGCTGCTATTCAGAGGGAGCTCCACAAAAGCAATCCCAAGGTCCTGCATCTGCAGGGAAGCAATAGCCCCATGCAACAGTACAGGCTGGGAGCTGTTTGGAAGCAACTCTGCACAATTAAACTTGGATGTCCTAGCAGACAATTCAAATATGAGTCAGCAGTGTGCCCTCGCAGCAAAGGCAGCCAACAGCGTCTTAAACTGTATTAACAAGAGGGCCAGGGAAGTGATCTTTCATGAGACTTCATCTGAGTACTGTGACCAGTTTTGGGCTCCCTCCAGTACAGAACAATATTGACACATGGGACAGAGTCAATCAAAAGGCCTCCAAAACAGCCAGAGGTTGCAGAACACAATGCACATGAAGATGCTGAGGCAGCTGGAATATTTTCATCTTGGAGAAGAGAATGCTAAAAGATCTTGTTGCTGCTTACAACTTCCTGACTGCAGGACAGGACTGGAAAATGGAACTAGCCTCTTCTCAGAGGTGCACGATGATGGCACAAGAGCCAACAGACACAAGTTGCAACATGGTAAATTCCATATTCTAGATAAAAGGGGGAAAAAATACCATGAGAATGGTCAAACACGGGGGTTGCTCAAAGCAGTTGTAGAATCTCCATATTTGGAGATGTTCAGGACTCCCCTGGCCATGGCCCTGATCAACTTGATCTGATTAGACCTGTTTGAGGAAGGAGATGAACTAGATAACCCCTGAAGGTCCTTTCTGACCTCACTTATGACTATAGGATTCTAAGGCAATATGTAATGTATGGAAGAAATTCCCGTAGTTCTAAATAAGCAAAGGTGATGTTCTAAATAAGCAAAAGAGATTTCAGCTTTCCAGTTTCTGTAGTTACTTATCTGTGTTCTCTAAGTGAAATAAGAACTTACTCTGAAAAGGTTGATTCTTCTGAACTCAAAGAAAAGGAATAATGCATTTAAAGGAGACAAATTATTGACTTCCTTCATGGTATTAACACATTAGATCTTTGCTAGCACCTCCATTTTCTTATCCCTTGAATCTTGATACGTAACACGTGGTCTAGATTTTTTCTGTGACAGAATTCAAAGGCCCATCCAGCCAGCTAGTACAAGTGCTGTATGTGCATCTAAGGGACATATGTCTCCTTTTTGATGTCAGCAGACACCTGAAGGTTATTACTAGCACTGTTACCACATATTCACTTGTGAGCAAGTCCAGATCTATATTCAGGTTCACAGTTTCTCTCTGCAATTCACTGAATTATTAGATAATTCTACCTCTTTTTCCAGAAAACAAATTTCACTGCTTATGGTAGAATTCCAGCCAAGAGAATCTATCTGCTAGCAATCTGCTTAATTAGCATATTCTTAGGGTTGTTTAGATTACAGCTACAGTGGTAGTATAGTCAAATTTGGCTGATAAATTAAGAGGTCTTAATGCCAGGCAAACAAGAGCCAAATGCCTCACTATGGCACATTAACTCTGTGCTTTCCAAAATGTCCAGTAGGTTAGGTCTTGCAATTTGCTCAGATGTCATGCTTAGGTATGAAAATAATGTTAAGCATATAATACTCAGAACTAAAGTAACTGCAGAATTTTCTTTAGCCAAAATGTTTTCTAGCAGTAACATGGAGTTTATTATGCATAAATTTCATTTCAGACTGAGGGACCTGAAGAAGGTCATCTGCTCTATTTTAGTTCCTCCTATGTTCTTGTGAAGCTGTGTTGGTTTAAATGCTCTTGGACTCAGTGAACTATCCATCAGATATACAGAACATGCAAACTTCTTCACTATAATACAGGGATGTCTTGATGCCACTCTAAAAGGATCATTTAATATTAAACGAAATCTTTAAGTCCTGTGGGTAGGCAGCTGTTTTACCTGAGAGTAGATAGATCCAGTGTCCTGCCCATGAACCCAGCTCAGCAGGTGTGTTTAAAATATGCCATGGAAAAAATATGCCATCTCTAAATTTGTCCAGGCTTCAGAGTATTTAAAGGGATTACTCACTGAAATACAGCTTTATAATATAACAGCTACAACAACACTCGAACAAACCCCCACCCTTTTCTTATTATTTTTTAATTATTAAAAGTATTTGAATTAAACAGAAATTGTTATTGAAAAAGTTATAGTTCTTCCTCCTGCTTCTTGGAAAACACCTTTTAATAAATGGTTCCATAGTATTTTAAATTAAAAATCTAAAGAAAATACATGAAAAATCGTAATTTAAGCTATCGTTAGTTCTCGAGAATAGAAACATCTCTGGAACTTCAGGAGTTTACATGGTGTTTCAAATGTTATTGTAGTAACTGTTGTTACTACTAACCTACAGCCAAGCTGAATGGTTGGTGTCTGATCTTGCAAACATTTCAGAATCCTGCAGCTTGCTCTGTGGCATGAGCTAAATGTGTAGTACTAAAAGACTGCAGGAGCTGGACCTTAAGATGTATCTTTTGTTGCTCTTGGCTACTCTTTTTCATCTCATTTGGGAATTCTGGTTTTTGTAATAGCTTTCAGTAAAAATCCTTCTACTCCTCCTCTCTTTGTTTTCATTTTTTTCTTTGTTCCAGTTTTAATTGCCTACTATGCTGATTTTCTTTTTTAAGAATAACAACAAAGTCCTAGTTGCAGATGGATTTTAATTCATTATTTTAGAAAGGAAAATGGGTATTGATTGTATATTATTCACATCAATGGGTGTAGTTAGTCTTGTCCTCAGAAACACATTTACAAAACCACCATGATGTACTGACCTAAGATAAATTTTTAATTCACTTCAGATACAAGCCTCATGACTGTAAATAAAGCACATTTATTTGACACTCCAGAGTTATTTGGTTGCTAAGTGGTTTCTGTTTTTAAAAGAGAATAAACATTTAACATTTATTTCTGGGTTATTTTGGTAAGAAAATCTGTTAATTTTACTTTTTAAAGTCATTATCAGGGGGAAATGGTAGCATAAATTCCAAGAGCAATTTTCTTTTACAGTTTGACTGCATCGTATATGTGAAACAATTCATGGATGCTGGGGAAAAAATTAAGCTATTTTTTGCTTATTTAAACAGGGTAAAATAAAGAAGGAAAATATTAGGGAGGATCTCATATACTGTCTTCTGCCTTTGAACAAGTTCATGTTTATTGGATCAATGCCCAGTACTACTAAGATCCTTCAAGTAAAAACTGTTAGAAAAACATTAAAGACGAATTGTATCTTGTAACTGTGGGCTTGGTAGACTTAAATAAAGGCAGTATTTCGAAGTATTGAGCAATCTAAATTCCCAGGGTGCAGTGAATCCTACGGCTCAGTGAAAGCTGAAGGAGGAGACTATGATTACTTATAGGATTAATTAAGCACATAAACACAGGCAAAATTTTAATCATGGCTTTAGCTTCTGTTGGAATACAGACTTAAGTCTGTATCTATTTTGATGCATCAGGAATCATGAGTCTGCTGCTTCAATTATTTCCATACATTTTATCTCTGTTTTATGGTTAATGTATTGTTCTTTGCCTTCTCTTCAAAATTTTGCATTTCTGTCAGGATTTTAGTTTTCTCTTCTAGCTTTTCTTCTTTTATGCAAAGCCCAAGTTGAAACAATCTTTCATGACATGCACCTCCTCCAAATTCTGTATCTTGCCTATAATGTTCTAGACATTTTCTCTGCCTGCACCCTTATTTGTTCTTGCCTCTGAATTACTTTAGTCACTGTATCAGGTTAAATTATGATTTGATTTACACTGATTTCTGCTTCCAATCTAATTGACCAGTGCTACCTAGAAAAATTTTAGATGAAGCTCTTTTTACATGCTTGTGGAGACCAGATCATATTTATGAAATAAGGAAAATAATTAATAGCACCCTTTATTTTATCCTTACCAAGGTGAAAGAGAGGAATTAAGTGTCACATATTTCAGGCCTCTCTATCCATCTAAAGATAAATACTATGTCCACACATCAGTGTCAGAGAACAACTTAGTGTTTAAGTTCTAATGTATTTGTACCTAATGCTGTCTACAGGGGAGCCTCAGATGTAAACAGAACCTTGAGGGGAGATTATGATGTTCCAACCTGGGATTTGTGAAGACAATGTCTGGAAGCTAAGATCCAAAAGGAAGAACTTCAAACAAATCTTCTGTTTCAGAAATAGATGCAGATGAGATTGGTAATTTCCTTAGCAAATAAATTAATTTATTTCAAGTGTTTATACTTTGTCTGTTCTTAAAACTGTTAATCAGGGTATGAACATGCTGATACCAGCTCTTTCTCCTCCAGATAAAGAAATTGGAGACAAGCCTGAATTTTTTTCCTGATTGAATGTAGTCCCAGCGAAGCAAACTGAGCTGAGTTGAGCTGCAACCACATTAGTGATGAGTAAAACAAATTGTAGTGAAAAGAGAAGAATTGAAATGTAGAAATATATTCTAGAAATACCAGATTAATGATAAAAAGCTGGATATTTTTTGTACAGGTTTAAGTAATGTGCTGCTGATGGACAGCCCTAACTGGTGCTGATGAAATTCAGAGGTAGAACTGAAGGCAAAAATTACTCAACTTCAAGAAAATTGGTGTAGTATTTAATTGACATAGCAGAGAATTATAATTTTAAATGGAAGGAAGCCTGAAAATATTAAAAGCTTTAAAAGAAATATTACACTTGGCTAATACATACATGAAAATGAGAGCATATCATCAAATTTAAAGAAGAAATAGGGCTATTCTATATGAAATTCAAGCTTTATGAAGAGTTTCAAGAATCAAAATACAAACTAAAAAAAAAAAGAGAGAGACATAAAAGATGTTACAAAACAGTAAGTTTCTGGCCCTTATGGTTGTTGAAATAATTTAAAAAGATGGCCCAAATCAACCGGAACACAAAAAATAGAAGAAAGACTTGCACTCCCTGACCCCACATCTTTGTAAAACAGCATTTTCAGCCCTAGCAGTTTTTTTGAACTTTGTGACTGGCAATACTCAGTTCCCTAACCCCTTTCCATTTTCAGACATATGAGGCACAAATGACATACCCCCCTGTTAAAGTGCAACACCACAGCTTCTCTGCTGACACATGCCCCAGTATTCCTCAGACAAGACTTCATGAGAAAGATGTGAGTTGCTGGAGGAATTGCAATCTTAGCCGTGCCAGTCTCTCCTGTGAATGAGATACGAGTTATACAAATGTTAGTGTAACTGATTTGGAGAGACTCCTGAAGAATCTGGACAGCCAGTTGCAGCAGATGGGAAGGAAAAGGTTCACTAAATCATATCTTCTGGGCAAACTTAAAGGGAAAGAATTACCATATTGAACATTAGGAGGTTAGAGCAGTAATTAACTGACAGGGTTACTGAGACGAGGCACAGCAACACAGATGTGCCATTTTCCTGGGAAGTACTGGAATGAGTGTGTATGTCCAGTAGTTCTTTTAAATGAGAGAGAGGCATGGCAGCCTAGCCTGCTCTAGCAAAAATAAAAGGTAGGGAATCCTTGTTAAAAAGGTTGAGTAGGAGCTTAGTCTGTGCTTTTCAGTTTATTTCTAAATATTAGGGATAAATCCTGCAGCTGCTTCCTGAGAAGGAAAATAGTTTCTTTCCAGAGAAACTGGAAATATATTTTAAGCAGAATGGATCAGTGAGATGTTGCAGATCAGAAGGGTCTTTTCATTAGGTTTGGTGGCCACTAAGTACACGATTATATCTCAGTGTAAGCAGAAATCTTCCTGTTGGGAGTCCAGTCCAAGAGGGTGTCAAAAGTGGCCATGGCTTTAGTGGCAAGTTATATACTGAGGTATGAGGTCCAGTCTCTTAAACAATTTTACAGCAATGGGAGAAAGGAGGTAAACTAAAAGAAGCACTTCTTTCACCAAGACCATGAAAACCTCCTGTAGCCTCTCATGCAAGTTGTCACAGTGAGAACCAATCAGTACACTGATGTTTTTATTTTGTCACCTCAGGTATCCTAGGCAGCACTAGCCCCTTCATTTTTATGCCAGCGTGCAGTGTGTTCTCTTGGATGTATTTTATGTTTCAGTAGTGATTTACATTCACCAAAATGAAGGCCAGATGATCACCTCTGTTATGCAAATGAATGCATGGGGACAGCAAGGGAGTCAGTAACTTGAAGTGGTAAGACTGGACAGTTGTCATTCTGTTCAGGGGGCTTTTTCTCTCTATTCATTGACCTTTCAGTAGCTTTCTGGCTTGCAAATTCTCATTCAGGGGGAAGGGTGCAGTCAACTGGAAGGCAATTTCGGTTAGAAACCACTTTATGTCACAACTGAGACTCAGCTTACACAGGGAAAGATACACAGGATATTAAAGGTGTTCAATAAGTAAAAGCCTTGTTACTTTTAGTGCATATAAACTCTCAACAGTTTAAAGCAACAGGCTTACAACGTATTGGTTATTAAGACAGAGAAAGACTTATTTTAATAACATGCAAGTAGCTAGGGTATCTATGCTTAGGGAAAGAAATATAAACAATCTACATGTAATTATCGGGAAATATACTTCATACAGACTATACTTATATTTGTCTTTTTAGAGATGTGAATGAAATATTGAATTAAATATTAATCATGCCCTTCAAAAGCAGACAGTGAACTGTGGACCTCAAGAGCTGAATCCATTCTCTTCAGCTTAAGCTAAATAACCAAGCTCCTAGGAACCTGTGGGACAAGAACAGTTATAAAGGAAGAGGTTTTCCAGACCAGCAGAATTGTGTCAGTATAATTGTACCATTCTAACTGAAGTAGCTTACATAAAAATGATAATATAATACTTCTGGTATTTAAATATTACAAATACTAAAAATAATTTTATAAAACCTCTTTTTAAGGCTCAATACTGGGTATTAGTAGAGATTCAGTTGGGATCCAGGCCTTAAGCCTTACAGATGGCTATAAGACCTGATAAAATTGTGAATATTCATATTTTGAATCCACTGAAATAGATTAAGTTTTACCTGTATGGGATAAATGTGTATGTTTTCGATTTTCTTTCTTCTTTCTGGCTAGGATGGAGAAAGAATTTGGAGGGGAAAAAAGCAACACCCCACATGGGAATTAACAAATTGATATATTAACAATTGTACATATGTACATATAAAACTAATACATTCGTTAATTAAATAAAATTAATAATTCCATTGGATTTTCAGAAGGTAGAAAGGTAATAATTCTATTTCTCTCAGTGAGAGTAGAATATTCAAAATCTTTGTCCCAGGGCAACAGATAATGTAAGCTTACAGCCTCCATTTTGTAAATTATGTGACAAGAGCCCAAAAACTCTGGTTCTGAATACTTCCTGAGCTTTGGGAAATCTGACTCGAAATTTGTGGCAAAGTCTTATTTCTGAAATCTATATCAATGCACTTGATTCTCTTCTACTAGCTGTAGTCCTACTTCAGTGGGTTAATTTCTGAAGTTCCCTTCTCATTCTGTATTGAGCATGAAGTTTGTGGTTTCCATTTCATACCTAAAGAGGGATTTGTGTGCCTGAAACATTCTTTTTTTACATCCCATTGGCTTGATGAGAAGACATTAGGTCTCCCTACAGGCTTTGCCTGCATGCCTCCTGAGAGAAAAAATGCAAGCTATAATGAGAGCAACTCACAACCTGGAAACCCTCACAGAAAAAAATACCCTTACAGTCAGCAGACGTTTCGCCTAGTCTGACATGTCAGGTTTTGGCCCTGTCCTTCTAATAGAAAGCCCCTCCCAGAATAACTGAATCAAAATATCTAAAATTAATCAATATCATATTTATGTATAAAACAGACTAAGGGACGTTATTTGACCTTTTGGTAACTGACCTGCTAACAAAAGCAAGGTCTCACAGGATTTACCTCTTCATGCTCAGCGTGAGGCAACAAGCCAGTATAACATCTGCTCAGTATGCATTGCAAAGCAAATGAACAATGCTGACACCATTAATCAGCTTGTCCAAGAGAATAAAATGTCAAAACCTGATGTAAGAAAGCTTGGCTTTAAAAGCAAACATTTCATGTGGATCTGCATGGGTCTAATGATGGATTAGTTAACCCTGGAAGATGAAGAATGACTCCAGCCTAATGTTTGAGGGGGAATTGCATCTAAATCTGACAGTGTACAAAGAAAGACTGTAAAGAAATTAGAGATATGGGAACTACTTTTACAAAAATCAATCGCCTGCCATTGGTGCCTCAAACTTCAGTGTGTGATATTAAACAGAATTAATAAAACACACCTTGAGTCCTACCAGGTTGCAAGATGTGCATTAAAAGTAAGTTTTTTCATTCACAGAACTGTTAAACTGCAGGTAGCATTTTTTCCTTCCCCTCTGCTGAGCCATGGGCAGGAACAGTACCTCAAAGGGAAAAAATACACAGAATTTATTTCAGTGAAATAGATGCAAAGCAGTGCAGCAGTACTTTAAATCTGGGGTCAAATTACAAGTGAAAACTCAGGAACAGTCAGTAAAGGGTGCTGATACTTCCTTATTTAATGAGGAGTAGAACATCTGTTGGGGAAAGAGAAGGTAGGGAACACAGACACATAGAAGCTACAGCTGGAAAAAATCTCTGCTAGCCAGCTTAAAAATGCAGGACCTATTCTATTGCTTTGTCAAATCCACTTTTGAAACTACAAGGCTTTTCTGCTTCCAAGATTCCCTTTGGAAGATGTCTCTGGACTGCAGTGTATTTCAGTCTCAGAATATTTTTTCCTGGTATCTTTTTTTTTAATAACCTGAATTTCTTCCCATAATAACTAGCACACCCTTTTGTAATAAAACAAAAATTCACCTCCCTTGGTAGCTTTCACTGCCTTTCTTTTAGAGTCTGATTGTCTTATATCTTCTCAGAATATCACACCCTAAGCTTCCCCATTGGAAATTATCAGGACAGGGGGCCAACCTTTGCCCAGAGGGCCTTTCTTGTTTTTGCTTATATTCTCTTCCCTGAGGTTAAAAAGACTTTTAATACAGGGTATGTTCTCTGTGTGTTAGCACTTCTCTGCTGCAATCAAGTTACCTTTCAAACTCTTTTTTGATAAGCTTAGCAAATTGCATTCATTCTGTCCTTCACAGTGGGGCTTTTTTTCCAGCATTCAGATAATCTTTGTGGCTTTCTTTTTACACCACCTTCATTTCTTCCACTATTATAAAGACTCTTTTCTGGGATTTCATCTGTATAATATTTACAGGTAAAATTGATCACTTTAAAGCTACTTCTTCCAGACAAGTAGATGTTGCCTTAAAATACTCAAGGCATTAAGAGGGAAGAAAGGAATCAGCTCCCATTTCACATTTCCACAGAAACTTTTAAGATCCTCAGCTATTCAGGCTCCCCAGTTTGTGAGAGTGACCATATGAGTGGTGCAACTGATAAAATCAGGGAATTACTGTACAGGTCTGGTTGAAGAAATGCAGAGGGTCTATAGTGTAGTGTAAGACATCCAGTGTCTCAAAACTGAAAGTATTATGCTTTCTGATACAATTTTAGTAAAAAAAATAAAGGAAATACAAACCTCCTGCAGGTGACAATCTCATGTTGAAAATGCATTCAGACCCTATGTATAGGGGTGACTGAAGGTGACTATGAAAGTCTGGATGTACTTTGAGTTTGACCCTTCTGAGAATGAGAGCTGGCATGTTCCCTCCTTGGAACTCAAAGTCTGTAAGTGTTTTTGACAGTGTAGGCTTTCAGAGGTTTATTAGTGAGCCAGGTGAAAACTGTGCTGCAGAAGAAGGTACTGCTAAATATAATAGTTTTTCAGCCCAGAATATAGAGGCTTTGCTACACAAAGGGCTACTAACAGCAGCTTGGTGTAGAATATAAAAAATGCATCTAAAAACTTGATAAAATCAGCCACAAAAATTCACCAACTAAACAACCAAATCATTACAAAAGTCATTTGGACAAGGGGCTGAAAAATCCTAAGCAGAAAAACAGGAATGATGGGAATTTGAAAGGTTGGGCTATCACTACAACAATGTGAGCACTACACAGCAGCTGCAATCAACAAAGGAAGCAGAGCTACTACTTGCTCAAGTACTTTATTGACAAGCAAGACATAGGTCATTAGACATTGAATGTGATCCTTTACCCAGTTGCCATATTGCAGTATGACATTTCATTTCAGAGCAGAGAACTGGAACTATTTTGCTAGTCCTCTTTACCCAGTATCAGTTAATTGCATCATCATCCTTGGCTGCTAAACCTGCTGTCTTTTTCACGGAGATCACCTGGAGGTTTTTTCACTTACCATAAGCTTCAGGACAGGCTCCTCTCTCTTACTTCAGCTCAGTCAGTGGGAAAATCCTTTCTTGGGTCACAAACCACTACCAAACTGAAGATGACTGTCGTAAGGCAGTTGGTTTGCTCTCCACCTGAGCCAGAGTACTGAGTTAGGATGAGTTTAAACCTGGACCAGCATGATAATATAGAGAAATACTCCTTGTCTCATCCAAATCCACTCAGATTGGCTGGTATGGTATCACAGCAGAGAGCACTCAAACAGGTACACACATGCACACAGATGCACTGACAGAGGTCCTCAAAATTCTAATGTATTTAACTGCCATGGTATAATAAGATATAACACTCTACATTCGACTGAATCTGCAGCAGAAATGTAGTGAATGGCAAATCCAAAAGCAGTGCTCTTTTCCCTGTCAAAGGACAGGGGGGAATCTGCTACAAATAAGCAGTGGTGCTGGGGGGCTGGCAGGCATCCCTAACCGGGTAGACAGTGCTGGAACATGCCTTCTCTTTCTGGCCTTCCCTTGCTATCATTCCTGTAGGATCGGTGCTCTCTGCTTCCCCACTGCACCCTTGTGGCAACTGCAAGGTTGGCCTTGCAGGTACTTTTCTCATCCATTTTGATCTATGCATGTAATTTAGTTCCAGGTTTTAAAAAGAAATATTCCTTCTTATTATGTCATCCATTAAACAATTCATTTATTCATAATAACTCTGTGTGTATTTTCTTGACAGTCCAGCAATGTTCTTATCTTTAACATATTTATCAAACATAAGGAAAATTTGGTTCTTTTCCACTCATTATTTAAAAGATTACTCATCCCCTGTGTGAGAATTTTAAAGAAAATCCACAAAACACAAATTTTTGCTTAACTCTTAGTTTGGTCTTCCAAAATAGAAGTACGATATTTGTCTAAAATTAGATTATTCAGAAGACAGTGGCAACAAATGTATTTTTATACTTGGAGTAATTAGTATGTTTTACATCCACCCTGCAACAGCTGGTTTAGTCTGGCATTATGGTTTTTCCAGAGCTGTTGAGGGATTTCTTTAGCCCAATAGGATTTGTGTTGATTACTGCTGCACTTTTTTTAGTGGTTTTTATTCTTGGGGGTTTTTTCTTATCTTGACTCTGAAAGTTCTAGCCACTTGGGTTATTACAAATTTTGGTATGTTTATACTGTAATTCCACTACAATAATAAAGAAGTCAGACTTTCACAGACTTTCATGCACACACACACAACATAAACACACACATACACAAAAGAACTTGCAACTCATTTGCTGGAATCCTAAATTTGAATAAATATAAATATTTAAATTGTTTAAAGACAGGGTAGGGTGAAAAGGCAATTTTGGTTCTAAAATGCCTCAAAAAAGACCAAGAAAACCTCAAAAGGCTCCAATAACACCTCAAAATCCTGATGTAATAAAATTGACTATAATTGGCTAAACTTGAGTAATAAAGGCAATATATAAATTATTGAGCAAACGTAGAGGGTGAAAAGGTGATTTTCATCCTAAATGCCACAAAAAAGACACAAAATCCATTCAAACTCCCTAGAATTCAAATAAAATTGACTATATTTGACTAAATATGAGTAAGTAAGGTGATATTTAAGTTATACTTAAAAAAGGGGGGGTTGGAAAGTGCTTTTGGCATTAGAATGCCCTGAGTAAATATGAATATCCCTCTCAACTCTATGTGTGAATAAACAGGAATAAATAGGAAAAATTAGGGTGATATTTAAGAAAGGATTAAAAAGTGTTTTGGGCACCAAAATGCCTCAGGAAAGATCCAAAACGCCACAAAAACACCTCAAAAAGCCCCAGAATTTAAATAAAACTAAGATGGAATAAATAGAAATAAATTAGAATATTTAAGTTATTTAAGAAAGGGGAGGATGAAAAGGCGATTTTGCCCTCAAAAACGCCTCCAAAAAAACTCAAACCCCCATAGAAATCCTCCCAAATTAAATAAATGTTGAATTAATATTAATATTAATAAATTAAAGCAGTAGTATTAAAAAACCGTAGGGTAAAGGTGCTTTGGGCATTGAAACGCCTCAAGAAAGCACCAAAAAGCCCCCCAAATGCTCATAACTGCATTTCAACTAATTAATAAACATTTAAGTTTTAGGGTTAATTAGTTTGATTAGGGTAGAAATTCAGTTAAAGCGTCTAAAAGAGAAATTTGGGGCAAAAAAGCCCTGAAACCGCATTTAAACGGAACAAATTTAATCAGAATGAAAGAACCTGAGGTAAAAGTTGCCTGTAATTGAAAAAATTTGAGGCAATTCGCCTTAACTTGAGGAAAACCGGGGGTTAAAAGGCGTTTTTAGCCGTAAACCCCCTCAGAACACCTGAAACCCCCCAAAAGACTCAAAGCTCCCCCAAACAGCCGCGATTAATACCAATTAATCGATTAAGTAATTAAATTATTCCCTCAATGGATTAAATTAAGGCAACGAATTAAGTCACTCCATGGGCTCGAAACAGGCTCCAAACCCCTTCGGATTTCCCCGACTAAGCTCCCAAGCCGCCTCAAAACCCTCCGCGGCGCCAACTAACGCCTTAATGAGTATCTTAGTCAACCCCACGAGCGATGGTAACTTATTAATTTTACTAATTAATTACATTTGGTAATTAACCTCCACCGTACCTTGCCCGCCGCCACCACCCCGCAGCGGCCCGCCCCGCGCCGCCCTTTATATCACCTCGGTCGCTCCCCTCCCATTTCCGCCCGGGACCAATCAGCGCGCCGCGCGCCCCAGCACACCCCGCCCACTGGGCAGGGAGGTCCCTTCCCGGGTTTTCGGCGCTCAGCCAATCAGCGTGCCCTTAGCAACTGGACAGCGTCGGGAGCCGCCAGTGGCTGACCAATCAAGCGGCCGACTTTTGCGGAGGCGCGCGAAGAGCTAAGCCAATGGGGGAGCACCGCGGGCGCCTCACGCCGGCGGCCAATCAGAGCGCGGCGGCCGGGAGGAGGAAGGCAGAGAAACGGCGGCAAGCAGCGGCTGGGCGGACAGATGGAGGGACTGCCGGGGACACCGAGGGACCCAGGAGGACATCTCGCCGGTTTTGGGGGCTCCAAAGCTCAGGAGCTTCAGCGCTGCCTCCTCCCGCCCCCCCCGCCGCTTTTCGTCTTCAGCGCGCGGCTTCACCACCCCGTGACACGCTTGCCATAGATGGCTATATTTGCATAAAGGGGCGCGGTTCCGTCCGCTGGCGGGCAGCCTATCTGTGGGTTTTTTGCATAAAAGAGAGCCGGGTTTGTCAGCACTGCCGAGGGCTTTGTAGCGCCCTGTCACTGACCCACAGGGACCCTCAAGGACAGCCCGCTGCCCTGCAGGGACCCCTCAAGGGCACCCCAGTACCCCACAGATGCCCCAAAACATCCCATAGAGACCCAGAGGTGTCCCTTAGCGACCTCCATAACCATATACCTCCATGAAGTTTATTATGCTGTGCTGATGGCTTATACAATGCGGCAAATAGAATATTATAAATTCATTAGAAGTAAAAAAAAAAGAGGGACAGAAAAGCAGCTCCAGTGTTACACAAAGGAAGGCCAAATTTCTGTCTGTTGTGTATTTATATTAGCAAACCATCAAAGACTGTTTAATATAACATAAGGAATCTTTCTTTTGTTAGGGGAAAAGAAAAAGTGAAGATAAAGCCCCAAGAAACTTCTTGCTTGGTTTATTAAAGTAAAAATACCCCAAATTACTACTTATTTCAGCTGGAATAGGCCCACAAGAAATTTGTTGCTAGAAAGGAAGTACCACGGGAATCACATTCATAACCAAAAAACTAAAATTTCCAGCTAGTAATGCAGAGTAAAAAGCAGTAACAAGAACTGTGAACATTATGGTATTAAAAATTCACTTTTGCAAGAGAGTTGTCCAGAATGCTCTCTCAGAGAGGAAAGAAATTTAATTGTCCTAACTTCCCATGAAGTGCATATGGTAAAAGTGATTTTGTTGTAGCTGCTACTGAGCATTTCCATTAGGATACAGTTTAATTTACATTTGTAAAGATACCCTTTCAATAGAGGCTTTTATGGTGCTTAGAATGGTATAACCTTGGTTAAAGGTCCAAGTTTTATACGTGTAGAGCGAAGCTCAAACATTTAGTAAGGTGTGTATAAGCCACCTTCTACCAGCTATTAATGCTTGACATCGAGAAAGGGGAAATTCCACCTAATCTGAGATCTGCGTTCAACGCCGGGACAGTCAATGTCCAAATTCTTTAATGGATATATGATTCTGCAAGTTTTTTACCGTTTCAAGCCAGGCTTTGATGTTTCCTGGTTCTCTATGGAGGACGCAGTCGGAGCTGGGGGTGCTGAGCGGGGCTGACCACGGTTCCTGACAGGGATAGTTCTTCCTCTGCTGTGTTCGGTGCATTTGACAGTGACATCTGGTGACCAGTTTAGTTAAATGCAGGTTCGTACTTCAGGGCTCGTTTCTGTCAGCTCTTCTTTACCTTCAGTGTGGTAAAAAGTCCACCTGAAAGCAAGGACTTGGCAAAGGCACTGTAGTTTCTCCATTTATGGACTTTAGGTTCCTCTTTTCTCCTCTCACTGTTCCCAGCTGGATGCTTTCCAGAATGGATGGAGCCAATTGGACTAGAGCTGCTTAAGGTTTTCACAGTCTTTACTGAAGCCTCTGCATTTTGCTTTTATCACCTGTCTAGAAGCAGAGGAAAATCCCCAAACATTTGTAATAATCTTCCTGCTTACTTTTTGTTTATACTGAGATGCTTGGAAGTAGGAATCTGCTCATCTCTTGTTCTGGTGAGCATGACAGAGAAGGCTATTCCCAATTTCTAAACTAGAACACAAATCTCATGAAAAGGATGAAGAAAATAAGAAAAAGTAAACCAGGAGAATAGTGTTCCAACATTGCTGTCTGATATACAGGTGTTTGTTCCAGAAAGAGTGTTCACCAGATAGGGAGAGTGTGGATAAAGGCACACCTAGGTTATAAGGAACCTTCTCATTCAAAAGGGAGTGGGCATCCCTTTGCAGGCTGTTCAGAGCCTGCATTCAGTATCTGCATAGGCCCCTATCCTGCTCACTGACTCATCTTGCCTGTTTCTCGGGTCAAGCTGGGAGAGGAATCTTGCCTTTCTCTAAGTTTAATCAATAAACTGTTCATGCACTGCAGGAATGGAGCAGCTTGTCTTTTAAGGCCTGTTTTATGTTGCTTCTCATTTTATGGGATGAAACAGAGTCAGATGTACAAGGCTTGAGTGCAGCATCAGATCTGAATGTTCCTGGGTTTGAGATCTGGGCTTAAACCGAGGCATTCCTAAAGTTCAGGTTCATCCAACAAACATGAGTTTATTCTTCAAATCAAGATTTTAGTCCATGCCTATCTGTGTCACTGGTACTTGAGCTTGCAAACTTCTAATTTGATATTATTTATCCCTTTCCCCCTTTAAAAGGGGTAAGGCTGGGGGTGTAAACCCAACAACTTTCCGTACATTTTGATTCTTTTTTTGAAGTGAAGAGCAGAGCGTTACCTATGAGCAGCCCTGGTGGTCCCTAGTGGTACCTGCTTTGGCACCGTATTATTGTCTTACTATTCACCATACAGCTTTTGCCTTTTTCTTTACTGTCAACTTTATGTAATAGGGCCCTGACTCCAGCAACAAAATGCTTGTTTATAACTGCAGGCCTTTGCATTGTTGAATTTCCTTCTGTCTCTGTAACTCTGCACCACAGGGCTGTGCAATCCTTTTTGCATGAAAACTTATTCTCCATGATTGGCATTATCCTTCTGTTCTGTGTTACCTGAGACTTCAGTACGATGCGCTTTCTTGGACTATCTTCTCCTTGGACCAATATTTTTATTAAAATATTAAGCAGAACTGGGACTGACAGAGACTTCAGAAAGCACACCCCTTTTCTTCCCAATTGTACAAACAGTTGTGATCTCTTCTTACCTATCTAATAGTTATTCTTTTAATCTCAATTTTTTCCACTTTAATAATTAATCTCCCTTGAAGCAGTGAAAGCAATTCTTGATTTAAGTCTATTGAGATTAGTTCCAATACACTGAGCATGTCTAAAAAAGCAGTTATCTTACTGAAGACACTATAGATTACCACAATCTAATGTGACAAAACCATGTGGCATTTTATCACAGTTTTCATTTACCTCTCTGATCTAGATTTACTCATTCTATAGTAATGGTACTGAAGTCTTGTAAAATGTCAGTTTTATCCTCCCACTTGCTCCTTTTAAAAATGCATACAGCATATTTTTCGCTGTGAGTCATAGGGTATTGTTGTCAAATTATAGGAACAAATATCCTATCTGCTATACCAGTGATTTTTTTTTACACCTTTGGATGGAGACAATCTACCCCTTAATTTCAGTTTTGTTGTTATTGTCCAAATTTTGGTAATACATAAGATGTGGTAAATGCTTCACTGCCATGAGATGCCCTACTCTTATTCTCATGAATGTAATAATCCCTACTGTAAACAGAAGAAAAGCTGTACTTAATTTCTAGGTCAAACTAAATCGTCCTTTGCCTCCATTGCATCGTGACTGGGTAGACGCCTCACTTCTTTGTGCTTTAGCCTTTCTGTGTTATGAAGTTAAGAACCTGGGTTCTCTTTTCTTTGTAAGTCCATCTAGGCCCTTCTGGGTGATTTTCTGTACCTTTCACATCTGAAGAATGCTTTTTGCCAATTAATGCTCTTTCCATTCCTGTATAAACTCTCTACTTAGTCATACTTTACATTGAAGTGTCTATTTTGACAAGTTTTCCTTTCATTTGAGGTTGGAGTTCAATTTTTTTCATTATTTACACACTTGAATTACTCTGGACGACCTTACCAACTAGTTTCCTCAGTTTCTCAAACTTTGCATTCGAGAGACAAAAATATGATAACAGATCTAATTTTTGCCTAAATTGAACTTCTAAGATGAATTGAAGCAGTTTGTGATCAAACCATTTTAAAGAAATGCGGATGCACTTGAAAACAAAACCATTGTCCTGCACAAGCATTTCAGTTGTGTATTGACAATCCATTCCTTATTAGAACTAGATTTTACAGTTTGGATTTTGAAGTCTGGGGCAACACACAGATCTGCTCAGGCCTTTTCCCCTTGGATTTCATGCTTTGTGGGTAACACAGCTCACAGAGAGACCACAAACTTCCGAGGCTATGGAAGCAGTGTAGTGAGCCTGAGGCATACTGCATTACAAAAGACAAGGGAGTTAGAGACAATGGCCATACCAAAATAAAAGTAAAATTCAGTATGGTATCTGAGATACGTGCTGTATGCAGAGGCTTGAAGTAGGCCATAGGAAATGCTGATTGCTGTCCATATCTTTCCCCTTGTTTAGGGAGATTATGGCATCTGAAGAGAGTTGATGCTCCAAAGTTCCCTACCTGCTGCTAGTGAGTTGAATGGCTGTAATTTCCCATTGCTTTTTCTCCAGCATCTCTCAGCATTAGGCTATAAGTGGAGGTAGGAATCTCATGGCCAGACTGATTTTCCATGTTTAAAAAATGGATTACTGTGCAGTATTTCTAGGACCAAGAGAAGATCAAACAGATGAAAATCATTGCGAGCATCTAGTGTTCAAGGTGTTTGGCTGGAATGGGAAGCTCCTGTATCTGGACTCTGCTGTGAAGCTAATTTGTTTTTACCTAATGATTGTTTGATCAATCATTAGTGTGCAATACTGAGAGATGAGATGAGATGAGATGAGATGAGATGAGATGAGATG